AGGTTACTTAATATTAAGCAATTGCTATGCTTACTCAGCCTGACTGGTAAGAACAGGGCAGGTTCCATGCTGAAGCCGTTAGCGATGTCACCCCTGGACTCACGTGCTGAGCAGAAGGCAAACACTACCTAGACAATGAAACCGCAGCCTCAGTGAGCAGGGCTGTCCCACTGTCAGAAAGACACTGGTTTCAGAGGGCCACATCTCTCAGCTGTCACCAAGCACAGTCCTTTGCAGGAGGGTTGAGCAAAACACAGAGAAGGAACATCCTTGTCCCTGGGCAGCGTCCCAGCCCAAGGCACAGGCTGGCATGGGTTAGCAGCACTGCCGCCTCCCTGCTTTGCGTCAATAGAGGGCTGGTCAATCTAGTGTGTTTCAGCAGCCCTAAACACTTCTTAGATACTTCAAAGATATTTAAAACAAGCAAACAAACAAAAACAAACAGGCTGGGGAACATAAAAGCAGATTTCTTCTATCACTGTCTGATTGATCGAAGGGTTCAAAGATTCCTGTGAAGAAGGCAAGCTCAAAACTGCACTGAGGATGCACAGACCCACATTCAAAGGCAGACACAACTGATTACTGCTCAGGAAGGACAGGGGTTTCATGCCCACCCAGGCTCAGCTGCCCACTTCACCACCTGAAAATACAACCTGAAGCATGGCTGCCTCTCACATCGGCACGAGCAGTGCTCCAGCTCCTGAACACACAACAAGCAGACTCACCTTGTGCCTACCCTTTTTCAGCAGATGATGAGCAGGGGAAGTCAGGCTCATGGCCAAGTCCTTTTCTGCCCTCAGAGCTATTGAACACAGCTGGGCAGCAGTGTCTGTGCAGCACAAACAGCACAGAAACCACGGCAGGAACCAGCTTACAATGCTGTGAAAGCATCTACATGCCAATGCCTTCTGGAACACCTGCATCCCTCCTCACCTACACCCAGCTGCCAGGAGAGGTGCTGCTCAGTGTCTCTGAACACTACCGCTGCCTCTAGAGATGACGACTGAGGCTGATACGCTGCTGAGAACAAAAGAAAAGCAGCCCAGAGTCAGTTTTCACTTTGGAGAGGCACGGAGGCTGTCCAGGGCCGCTCTCTGCCTTCTGTTTGGCACCTCCATCCCTTTTTGGTGGTGGCGGAGCCCCTTCTCTGCACCTCCCTCCCACCTGGCAGGCTGCCCAGGCCAGTGCCAGCATCCAGAGGAGAGAGCTGGCAAGGAGGAATTGAAGAGGGGAACGCTGCAAGGCTGTTTAGTGTACACCAAAGACCGGCGTTACCCACCCAGGCACTGCCCCCAGGCTTGGTCGGGCTCAGGTCAGTGCTCCTGCCTCCCTGCTACGCGCAGAGCGCTCGGCACAGCCGACTCCTTGCTAGGCAGATGCTGAAACCTCAGCCCAAACAAACTGGTGTAGAAAAGGGCAGCCAGAGAGGCTGGCACAGGCAGCCAGCGCTCCCAAGCCTACATCCAGCAGTGGTGCCAAGGGCAGAGCACCGTGGGACCTCTCCCAGCACCAGGCAGCACTTCTTGTTCGTGGCTGCCTTCACCCCTACAAAACAACTCCCTTACAGGCACCGCAAGTTCCTTCACTTTTCGCCAAAGGCAAAAGCCCACCACTACTCGATTCTTAACTTGCAGTGCGTGAAAGAGAACAAGACCAATTTTCAGGGCCACATTTTTGGGTGTTTGGAGAAACAGACACAACCTCTGTTTATTTGTTTCAGGCTTTAGCTACTCTCTAGCTGCTTTGGCTTTGTTGCTTTAAACTCTGTGTTTGCATTTCTTGACAAGGTCATTGCTTTCACAAGACTTTTGCAGCAGTGCCTCACTTCCCTGGCCTCCAGCTTTGTCTTCTGACGTCCAGTTGCTCTCAGAATATTAATTAAAATCACAAAGAGCTCAGGAAGAGGAGCCAAAACAGCAGAGGAAAACATCAGACAACTCCTTCCTCCCCCAGGCCCCCAGCAGAGGGCAATGCCCAAGACATAGAAGCAAAAGAAACCTGTGAAGGACATCATAGCCCGATAGTCTGGCTCAGGGTTTCTCAGCCAACGGTACAGATTTTCCCAGAACTCAAGTTTGCTATGAAACTTTATTCTACCTGCTCAATAAAATTAATGTGTTTTATAACATGCCTGCCCTCTCAGAGGGTTTTAGCATCCTTATGATTATGCATTTTATAACCTTAGCAGGGAAAATAATCTGAAGGGAAAAAAAATATGAAAGCTGTCCTCACCACAAGATTTGTTGACATCAAAAGGCACGGCTGGTTCAGAAGTCATCTTGAATCTCAACTCTCTCACCTGCTTCCTATTACAGAAACAGATGTTCCTCTTGCTGTAAATTGCTGCTATTAATAATATAAATAATTATGCTTTTCTAATCATTTAATAGGCAGCACAGGAGGGCACCAAAGTTCCTGGCAGCCAGTAAATACATCTCCCTTCTTAACGGCTCAGAGACACATTGGTGGCCTCTCTCATCCTCCTCTGAAGTTCAGAATAGAAGCTAAGGGGAAATCAAGGGAGCCAGGCTCCTCTCCACAGGCTGTCCTGCAGACCCATCCTCTCTCCAAATCTCTATGCAACAGGTACAGCACCTTTCTCACCTGAGATGCACGTGTAAAAGCACACACGTGGCTAAGCACTGCAACACTCATGCTCCCTTCCTCTGGCAAGATGCTGCTGCGCAGCCCCAGCCCATGAAACACAGGGGCAGCTGATTGTTACCTCCCCAGCAGGTTCCCAGGATCCGGCAAGGGGCAGCATCCCCCACATGTCACCAACTGGGGATGCCCTACTCTGCAAGGGAACCTGCCCTGGGCCCTGCAGTCCCTCCCTTGCCCACACTGCAAGTCCCAGTCATTTGTTTTTCCTCCAGAGAACACTTTGTCCTTCTGTTGCCAACAGCCCCAGCCTTGGGAACATGAGCAATGGTGCCACAGATTAACAAGCTCACTGCAACCTCCAGCGAACACTGCTTCTGCTCAGCCCCTATTCCCACCCTCCAGCTATCACACACACAGACTGGCATGGCTCTAGCTCTGTCAGATGAGAGAAATATCACTACTGGCTCCAGATGTTAACACATGACAGGCACATCTGGATCACTGGAGGGTAGTGAGCACCCGTGGGCCGCACACTGGCTCTGCCTTGCCTTCCCTCACCATCAGAGTTAAGCCCAGCGACTGACCACGCTTGCTACATGCCTTAAGCAAAATTCCTAACCCTTCAGCGCCACACGCCGAGTCCCACGCTGTGAGATGTGGTCGGTGGGGCTGTGTCACCGCCTGCATGGGGGACACGGCCACACACTGGGCTCAGCTCTCCCCAGGAAGGGGTCTGCTCAGACCAAGACCCTGCCTGACTCCCAAGGGACACCATCCTGCCTGCAGTGGAACACCAGACTAGTCCATAGCAGGTTGCATTCAATGGGGAGTGTGTTAGGAGAGCAGAGACCTTCTTGCTTTCTTTTTTTAATTACTTCAACCTAATAAAAGGCTATACGGTCCTGGTTATGCAATATGGTCAGAGCTGCAGAGCCCCTCTCCCAGATAAATCCGACCCAACCACTTCTGCTGCAGCTCTTCCACACGATACGCTCACCCATCCAGTCGAACGTGTCTCAGCACGCAGTGCTCTCCTTGGCACTGCCCTCCTCCTGCACCCCTCCATTCCCCAGCCTGAGGGACCTGGCACCCCATCAGCTCATTTCCTCCACACTGTCCCAGGAGCAGCAGCAACATGAAGGTTATTTTCCTGTTCCCCTTTCAGAGCAAAACAACTTGCTAAAAGGAAGCCCCTCACAAGGTGCCAGGAATGAAGAGAAGGCCCCAACTAATAAGTTTCCCAGCAGTTAAAGATGGACCTGCCGTGCAAAAGGAGGCTGCTGCACCCGTTGTGGCCCACATGGCCTTTGAGGAAACAGCTCAGCTCCACTGCAGCTCCTGAGGGGGCACAGCAGGGCATGCTGGCTCCCTCACCTACAGCTCGACTTCTAAGGAAAAGCTTTAGCACTGACGTAGCAGGCTATGCCTTCAAGATCAATACAGAGAGCAAACACACACAGCCAGGCTTTCTCCCTCCCTCCCAGGACACCGTGCCTCAACCTGAGCACCATCTTCTCTACGCCAGTTCTACCAACAGGAAAGAGAACACACCACCTGAGAAAACGTGTCTGCACTAACAAGGTCATATTTAATCAGCCGGCACCTCCCGGGATGCAGTTTCGTCTGTGTGAATTAATAAGTCTGTCCATAGCGACAGAGCAGCCAGCTGGAAGTGCCCCATGCCAGGCACCCACAAATGTCTGCACTGGGCAGTTCCAGGACAGGCAGACGGTCCCCGAGCTGGGGACACACGTCAGGCTGGCAGGCTGATGGCACGCTGTGGCGAGGACTCAGCTGCGCTCTCCTGCTCCCCGAGGAGCAGAGGCAGAGAGACCTGGGGCACAGTGTGGTGAGTAAAAGTCATTTTGTCTGCTGTGACCAAGTCTTGCCACATCTTTGTTTCCAAGTTGGGCATCGCTGCAGGTGTTCCAGGGGTGAGAGAGCACCCAGCATGCTGATGCTCACAAGCTGCCTTCAGCCTGTGCTGTAGGCTCATTCCTTGGGTGCTAATGAGAACAAGAGCAGCAAAAAATCCCTGCCAGTCACCTTCTGAAAGCTTGCTCTATCAGTCAAATCAGTTTAAAGGGCCCTGCAGAGCTTTAAAAGAGACAAAAGCTAGTTTGCTGCTTGGCACAAGGAATTTCATTCCCGATGCAGATTAATTCTGTTAACTCATTCTGTGCCCTTTTTGGGGCGGATCCTTCCCTGCTCTTGCAGCTTACGGAAAGCACAGAGCAAACGCGCTACGGTCTCCTTTCTGGTAAAGGCACTCAACAGCCTCATCTGGCTTTGGCATTCATATTTCCTCCCGTGTTACCCACTTGCAAACACCTCCCCCTCCCCACACCACATCTTTCACGAGGCCCTTCGGTGCCAGCAAAAGCCCAGACACTCACCTTGTGCTTCATAGCCAGAATAGTGGTGAGCCATGCCCACATCCTCCTCCCCGGGGCCCAAGCCGAGGGCTGACTTGAGCTGGGCCATGTTCACCTGCGCTGTCAGCTCACCGTTCCGGTCCCCGATCTACAGGGTGAAAACCAACAGGGCAGGTGGTTAAAAGGCAACGTGCTCTAAGCAAACAGCCCCTAACGAAGGGTTTGCCAGTCCCATATCAAAGCAAACACGCAGCCAGCTAGAAAAAAACTTGGAGACACCCTGCGAGACCATGCAGCCCAGCTTTCAACACCAAAGCAACTCTCCAAAGCTATTCCTCAGTGATGGTCCATGCGTGCCATGCACTGGCTGCACCTCAAGATGCATCTCTGCAGAGTTCGGTACAAGGAACTGAGGGGACACAGCTCGGCCACTGCTACAGAACTGAGACAGAGGTAAACGTGCACATCTGGTCTGTCCTGTAGTGCATGTCCACAGCTACTGAGCACCAGGCAGCCACACGGGCACTGTCACACTCAGGGCCTGGGTGCTCCGAAAGCTCCTCTCCTGGCTCAGGTCCACGCAGCTTTAAGTTGTTAGCAGTGATCGACCCACACAAGCCTCCAAAAGTATTTTGGAGTCCAATTGTTTCCAAATTCCCGTCTCTCGCTGGCCTAAGGCTGAGGGGGCTGATGTTACATGTTCAGGAAGAGATCTTTCCAACAGCTCCTGCTACTTAAAATGGGGAGTCATAGGTCATGCCGCTGAGCCCTCCTCAAAGTTTAACAAAACAAGAAAATTGCTCTGCTGCATATCACTAGCAAACAGAGAGGCCACTAGGAAACAAACAGTCTCTAATCTTCAGAGGAAGAGCAGCCTCCGTTACAGAGGAAGACCTTGGCTGCTCCCTTGGAGAGGCCTGACTCCCTATTAAATGCCTCACAACAGCTCTTTTGTGGTCCCGCAAGATAGACTGCAATGTGAGCCATCCTAGAAGAAAATCAGAAATCCCCACGTTATTTATGACAAAGCCTCAAACGCTAGTAAAGGGAGGCAGATGCAACGGCTTATCATAAGGCATAAGTCCCCTGCCAGTCACAAGAGATTTGCTGTTGGCATCACCTCCAGATAAATTACTGTCCCGGTTAGGTGTCTCAGTCCTTGATGCTCTGTTAAATGCTTCCCCGACTTCCACTCGTTCCAGTTCACATCCCTATTAACATCAGAGGAACACACTGGCAGGACAACCATCCTTGGCAGGACCTACTGCACACACACCGTAGCAAAGCTCTGTTTTCTGCCCTCAGCTCAGATGTCCTGTTTCCCAGGAGCCCCCTTCCCCACACAGAGATGGGAAAGGTACTCCAGAGCAGTGTCTGAGAGCTGGGACAGCTTCCAAGGTTTTTAGGAAAACCTTCTCCTTCACTCCAGCTGTTTCAGAAGAATTTTTTCAGTAACCTCTGATCACCCTGCAGCAGCTTCCAATGTGCTTACCTTGAGCAGATTTCATTTGGATTCAAATGTCATCATCGGATTTATATTGGGGTAGAAGGGGAAGAGAGTGATGGGAAGCAAGCCGAACACATTAGCGTGAAAAGGTTTAACTTCAGTAGGTTTGTCCTGGGCAAAATGCTGGTGCTTGCCACAACAGCACAAGCAGCTCACTTGGTTCCCAAAGCTAAAATAAAGCAGCAACTTTGGAACAGAATCAGTAGCTACTAGGAGCTAATGCAGGCTCTCCTCACAAACGGACAGTCTCTGCACTGCTCAATAATTAATGTGGGGGAGTTTATTAGCCACCTACCATGAGTAACCTACTCCTGACGTGCTTTGTAATCACAGCCGTCACCCCAGAATGAGAACACCACTGTGAACCCCCCCCCACCCTGCTCCTGCCCTCCTTCCCCCCTCATCCGCACCGCACATTGCCGAGCCGCCACCGGGCTCTGAGTAACCGGCCCCACACCGCAGCAGTCCTAGCAGACTAAAGCTGGAAAAGTTAATTTGTCCTAAAATGTACAGGGGCCAAAGAACAGTATTTCTTCTGCGTGTCTGATAAGTATAATTAAATACATAATTAGGCTGGTATGTCAGTCCTAACCCAAGATTTAGCCAACCTAACAGACAGGCAGGAGAATAACAAAGCACTTACATATGGTGATTTCAATTAGTGCTTCAATAGGACAATTTCTTCATCTGGGGAAGACTAAAGAGGCCATGGCTGATTTCCTCATAACACACTGGAAGGACCAAACAATGGCATTCTTGCTTTCTCTGAGTCACCAGAAAGTACCATATGTTTTTGCACCAGGAAAGCTGCAGCAAGCTGGGCAAGCACATCTGTGAAAACCAGGGTAGCTGCACGCATGAATCCCAAACGCTGCAGCAGCGGTACGGGGCTCACTGCAGGCTGTGTTCGTCCAGCGTCAGCAATCGCATTGGGACAATGCTGGAGCTTACCACGTCACAGCTGGGACCTCCTGCCTGCTCCACTGAAAGGAGATAACTTGTCACACTGTGTTGCGGTACAAAATGCAGCAGGCTTAGAGCACCCAGCCGTCAGGTAGAAGCTGGCCTTGTCTTCTCCTGCTACTCGCCAGCAAATTGAGCCAGACCACAGCTAGAATCACAACGTCCATCTCAGTCAGAATCTCACAGCCTTGTGCTTAGGAAAAGGGGGTCTTACTGAGCAGCTGGACACCAAGAGGTGTCTGAGTTCCTTCACGCCAGGGTGCACACCACCTCGGCCAGCAGACTAGATAACTAGTCGCCAGGTCCTTTCTCACCCAGGACTATCGGTTAAGAGGAACATACAGCAAAGGTACTAGCTGTAATTAAGGGGAAGGCTGGGAGCCTCCCATAACAAGAATATTTTCCAGCCAAGCCCTGCAGTTCCTAAAGAGACCATTGAAATAGCACATAGACAAGGGCTTTCCAGAGCAGTCATAGCAAGAGAAGAACTACATTAATATAACTTATTGGCATAAAATAAAAGTCTTCCTCTCGACAGGGATGGCTGATTCCCTCTGATCTGAACCAGCTTCTCTTACCTCTTGGGAGATTTCAAGATGTTTCCTTGCAAAGTGCAAGGCTTGTTCATGGTTCCCCAGAGAGACATAGGCATTTCCGAGACTCCAGCAGGCTCTTCCTTCTCCCACCCTGCAAAACAGGAAACGGTCAACCACAGAAATGCTGGGCAAAACCCAGCAGCACAGCAGCCCTTTCAGGGCCTCCTCGAGAGCACTGACAGCCAGGCCTCCTAGCTGTGTTCTCACCTACAGAAGTGTTCTGCAAAAGAAAATTAAATACATATTAAACTCTTCTTTTGCTGAGGTCAGTAAGATCAGGGAACGAGCAACAGCCTCAGAAGTGGGACTGCACTCACAGTGGCAAAAAGCTGAGCGGTGTAGCAAGAGCCCAGAATGGTTCAGCTTCATTTGTGAGCACCAGCCTGACAGCACAAGCCAGAGCTCCTGTCCAGCTTCCACCTTGCTCAGCAAGGATTCCTCTCCAGAGATGTACAATGCATCAAGAGGGCATGTAACATCCAACCCTTTAGTTCAACAACAGCCCAGAGCTAAATTAGCAAGAACTTGGGGCAAGAAGAGAACATTGCAGGCATGCAACACTCTCCTGCTAGACACCAGCGCTGTGTCACCCAGGATGCATGCACAGACTGAAACTGCATGCAACAGCCACCCAAATATTGACCTATTTCCACAAGGCCTCCAGGGTGCTGCTTCTTGTTTTCAGAAGCCAGAAAAAGCAGGCGAATGTGAAACCTGCCCCAGGCAGCCCTCACCCCCAGCCCCAAGCTGAGCCAGCCCCCACCAGATCCCCAGGTGGCTCTGGAGCAGGTTTCAGCACCTGTTTGCAGGAGCAGGCAGAGACCTACTGCTCATCAGAGCCTGCTCAGCTCTGCAAACGAGCAGATGTGGGGGGTGATGGGATAAAAAAAGCACATGGGGGCGCAGGGGGAGGTTCAGCGTGACTGCAACTCCCTTTTCAGAGGTTTGGGCGGGTTGATCAGCATTTAAACATTTTTCTTGTCATCCTGTTCAATACCTTCTGCTCATAGGGTGTGTTCCCAGAAATGCAGGAGCCCACAGGCCTGCACCCCCACAGCATGATTCACCCTTGGGTGGGATTATACCTTCGCTGAGCAGATACTGCCCGGATAGTGCCACGGAGCTCCCATTTTAATGTCTCTGCTCCATCTAGTGGAGAACACCCAGCTTCCCAAGAGCCATCAGCATTTAACACTGAACAAGGTGGCTGCAAAGTCACTTCAGCTGCAAGGTGGCTCCGGGATCAGAGAAAGCGTATCCAGGAGGAAGGAAAAACCTCTCTCTCAAAAAAAAAAAGTGAGTCCAAGCCTCCTAAACAAGAAGGAATGAAGCCAAGAAGCAAAATATATCATCTCTACATTCTCTGTGTAACATCATTTATTTCTACATGGAAGTTTCCAGCATCATTCAGAGCAACAGGACGAAGTGGCATGTACATATGTATGTGCTACCCACACAGTTTCTAAGGAAGATAGAATTTTTGTGAACTTGAGGAAGCTTTAGAGGGGGTCTTCTGGGATAAAACAGCAGTAGCCACATTGCAAAGTGCTGAAAACAATGCATTTTCTTGAAGTACCTCTTATTAGAAATCTCACTCAGCCCACACAGACATAGCTTTAAGGACAAAATCTCCAGGTTTGAATGACACGATAAAGGCGTCAGTCATGTTACATTTTTGATGGATGACTGGACTAAGGGCCAGGTTCTGAGACGTTTCTAAAGACTTTCAAGAATACATGTCACTGTTGTTTAACCTCAGCAGTAGAGAACAATAAACAGGGAAAGGTCGGTGCTCTGAACGCACTAAAGCAGAAACGCCATCTCCTGAGGCAGTCCCTTACCTGTCTCCCAGCTCCTGTGCTATCACCAGGTGCTTTAGATGATACTCAATTGCTCTTTCATAGTCTTGAAGCAGTGTGTATGTGTTTCCAAGACTGTAGCAAGCCTGGGCTTCTACTGCTTGGTCTTTGAGTTGTCTGGAGAGCTGGAGTGTTTTCCTGCATGGAACAGGTGAAAATGAAGAGACCTGGTCACTGCAGGACACCTCTGCAAGATGACAGGAAAGTCACTGCTTTGGCATGTGCATTGAAGTCAATGCCTGTTACACCTGCAGGCTGTCAGGTGGCTGTACAGCGTGCCACTGCTGAGCACCAGGCATGCAATGGACCTCCAGGTCCCTCGCCACGTCCCCCTGAGCCTATGAATTCACTGCAACAGGTCAGGATTTCCAGGGAACATCTACCCCAAGTCTGCCTTAGCCCCTAGCACTTACTTGTAGTACTCAGCAGAGATGTCGAACCTCCCGAGGAAGATGTGCGCATTGCCCAGGTTGCTGTACGCTCTCCGCTCGGCTGCCTTGTCCCCAAACTCCTTAGCAATAGCAAGGCGCTGCAGCAGACACAGATTAATGAGTACAGGCTGGCCATTACCAGGTTTCTGTTACACAGCAACTTTCCTGGGAGGTTAACTTCTTGGTTTGCAAAGCTCCCGCTACCAGCGAGGTAGTGGTGTACGTGCCTATCAGGGCTTGATGCAGCAGGAAATCTCTCCCTCTTGCAATTCAGGATTAGGAAGGACCTTTGGAAAAGTGGGAGTAATGTCGCATCCTCCTCTAACTCCTGCCCAGCCTGGTCAATACACACCTCTCCAGCTACAGCACAAAAGGAGTTATGCACATACTTCAACAGCTGAACAAAGAGGCGAATGGAGAGCTGTAGGTGAGGCTGTGAAGGGATGTGGTTGATCAGCAGACTAACATGCAGGAACAAGGCTGTCAACTTGTGTGGTGCTGTGGCACAGAATGAACACGCGCGTGTGTGCGCGCCATCTCGCTATCTGCGCTGCAGCTGCTCCCCAGACCTCTGCCCCTGCCCACTCCTCAGTCCTGCTTCTCCTCATGCTTCCCCACCTCTCACCCTCCACTTTGCAGCACCCTACTCCTTGTCCCAAATACTGTACAGAGTTTTCCTGCCCCTTTTCAAGCCCCTTCTCTCAAGGCACTGCTGACTGCTGTACTCCAGCATTTAAAAACCAGAAGAGGTATGACAGGGCTGACTTTCCAAGATGCCAAGCACCTTCCACTGCAAGGAAACTGATATATTTCTCTGAACTAGAAGCTAAATTGGATTTGAATTGGGGCAGGGAATGTGTCACCTCACCCCTCTGCAAGATTTACACAAAGTTATTATGTTCTACAAGCAACACTTACTCCTGATCAACAGCTCTTTCAGCAGCTTAATTAAATTCATGGCTTGCATTTATTAAAATCTAGACCGACACAAATTAAGAGCAGAAAAGCCTTGCTAGGCCCAGCTGTAATTTGCCCTTAGATATCACCTTTGGTTTCCAAGCCAACAGCACCCTTCCCACAAGCTGCTCAGTAGTTGCTGATGTGGATTGGAGTGAGACGTTGCTCCGCATGAGTTAGTACAACAGGGCCAGACCCTGAGGTGCACACAGGAGGGAGAAAAACAGCTGAGGGCAAATGCCTCCCTGTACAAGAAAGGCTGCTCCCCAACAGCCAGGCTCAGCCCCTGACCCCAAGAAGAAGGCGCAGTGATTTCCTACCTCCTTGTGGAAGGCTATCGCTTCACTGAAGCTGCCAAGTAAGTACTGAGTGTTGCCAAGGTTGCCATAAGCACGGCCCTGCGCAGCTCTGTCCCCCAGCTCCTTCACCAGGGACAGGTTCCTCCTGAAAGAAGTCAGAACAGTGTGTCTGGTGAGACACAGCAAAGAAACTTGCACTGTAAAGAAAGGAGAGCTAATCCTGGAGAAGGCACTTCCCCAACCCAACCGCCTGTCCTTTGTATCCCTTGGCAGGTGAAAGTCTGGTGATCTATGCTAGATGCAACTCTGGGAGCTCGTGCAGATCCAGTGGTGGAAGTCCCTGTTGCGCTCTCGACCTCGGCCAACCTGCAGCTGTGCGCAGGAACTGCACAAGTGCTCACACACCAATGGTCTGATAGGATCCCACGTTAATAAGAAATGGCCACCTCACTGTACAGGGGAGAACCAGGACCATGGGAGAGAGGAGATTACCTACAGCAGGACAGGGACACACTTGGGGAGGGGGCCAAGATCCACAGCCCCATGCCAGGGCTCTGCTCATGGAGCTTCCCAGAATTTTCTTACCTTGTTTTCCCCCCCCCCACACTTTACACATCCAGCACACATAGGGAAGCTTAGAGCTCCCAGCTGGCACAAATTCACCCACTGGCTATGCTACATGCACCAGTCTTCAGTAAAAGGACGGTGAGCTGCATATAGGCACTATCAGAGCCTCAGATATGAGAAGACAGATATAAGATCTTGTCATTCTCTTCATTTAAAAGGGCTACTTAAAAAACACCTGCATTATTGAAGCAAAACTCTGAAGTACAAGGAGAAAAACATTAGCCCAGAAGTCTGGTGACAGCCTTCCTGTATGGGACATCAGAGTGATCTCAAGCTATTTAGGAAAGGGAAGGCTGTTACAAGCAAGATAAACTACAGATCCACAAGAAGGACAACGAGGACTTCAAGCGAAAGCCTCTTCCCTTGGGTGAAGGAGAGTGTCTGTTCATGGCCCCAGCGATGGAGACACACAGGGATCCTTCTCATCAAGGCCAGCAGAGAGCAGCAGGGGCTGCAAGAGCTAATAGTTGAGCTTCCAGATAGGTCTGAGAAGGAGCAGACTATTGAACTTAATTGCATGATGATACTTCAAACTACAGTGAGTTTTACTAAGACAACGCCAGGATGAATTTAGCTCTAATTTATAAAAGCTTGCAGTCCCTCTCTCTCCTTCCTTAAGATTAATTTGCCATGATAACTCAGCATCTCGGGGGACTATTCCTAATTCATTACAACATGCAAAATCTCATTCAGTGGTCTGATTTTCAACAATGCTAAGCTCACAGTCTCATTCTTTGCAACAAAGATTTTCCAAAGCTCCAACATCCTCAGTGGCCCAGGAAACAAATCCCCCCCTACGAGAAATGCTTCCAACAGGACTCAGGAGAAATTGTTGTCTTGTATCCCATGCAGCTATCACCAGCCTAATGGTTTTCAGAGCTCAGCTAACCTGCAGACAAATGCGGATTATGATCTGAGCAGGATAAGCTCAAAGTGTACCTGCATGCATTTTAGCAAATCACCAATACCTGACCAGCCCTGTTCCCTGCAGGAGAAAGTGCTGGCCAAGCTTGAATACTTACTCATAATATTCTGAAGCTTTCTGTAGCGTCTCCTTGACTTCTTGAGGCAGGTAGCCTGGGTCTTGGGCCGTGTTCCAAGATAAGTGCTTTCCCTTTGCATGGTAAACATTGCCTATATTATAGAGTGCTCTGGCTTCACCTACCTAAAGGGAAGAAGAACAAGAAGCAGCAAGGTATTACACTTCACATCCCAATATGGACCTTTCCATTGCTGGGCAGAGATGGTCAAAGCCAGGAGGCCCACATTTTCCTTCCCCATCTTCACTGTCATGGCAGCTGTTACTGTCAGCAGCACGAGACCTGTGATGCAGCCAGAAGGGAGAGCTTTACACTCCACCTCCTTCCAAAGCCCACCTTCATATCACAGTTACTGACCTGCAGATTATTTTTAAAGCTAGGAAATGATTCCTGTTGGATGCTATGAATCAATTACCTTGTCTCCCTGCTCCTGAGAAATGTCCAAGTGTCTCTGGCAACAAACAACAGCTTCATCAAACTGCCCAAGTATTTTCAGTGTATTCCCAAGGTTGCCACTTGCCTTGGCTTCTCCAATGCGGTCCCCAATGGTTCTACAAGATGACAGGAGGAACAAAGAGAGGTGCTAAAGAGCTCTCAGACTTTTATTCATCAACTGTTGGAGGCAGAATTCAAACTGCAGTGAGCCAAGCTGCAGCACTGCATGGTACATACACCCCATCCAGCAGTTCCCAGCACACACGCCTGACTGGAGTGCTTCATAGAAGCTCTCCCAGTTTTGAGGACAGATTCTTGGGGTTTTTGCTGTCTCAGATGAACTATTCTAATGACTTCAGGTGTACTTAATGAATAGCTGGGGATAGGAGAACTGGACACTGCCCTGCTCTTGCCCCAAGCACCATCCTCGTATCCACATCCCTTTCCCCACCTCCCTGCTCTGAAGGTGGCTGGCCCATTCTTCTTGCCTCCCAAGCTCTCCACAGTACAGTCACCCCATGGGACTCAGGGCTAGTTTTAGATGCTTATTTCTAGGGCAGATTCCCTCAGGCTGCTGGGTTCAGACCCCACAGAACTTGCCTTCACTCAAGTCCTGACAGGTTGTGGCGGATAAGGACAAAGTACTGCTGCCATGCTTACCTGGCCAGGGTAAGGTCATGTTTATGGTACTCCAGGGCCTTGGAGTACTCCTTTAGGTAGAAATAGGCATTGCCCAGCTGACTGTAGATGGCACTGAGAGTTTTCAGGTCCTCTGTCCCCACTCGCACAGCTGCTTCGAAGAAGGCTGCCCCAGCTTTGAAGTCCCCAGCCTTGCACAAGCGTTCTCCTTCCAGGGCCAGTTCCAGGCAAGATGCCTCCATTCTGCCAAAAACAAGACCATCATTTCTAGGAGTTAGTCTGCACTGCACCCACACTGCTATGCAATGGTTAAAAAGTTTCCTTCCTTGCACATCTTTAATTACACATTGCACCAAGAAAAAAACCTACAAAAACCACCAAACCCTGGAAGGAGCCACCCTCCAGGCAGCAGCCGCCTCTCTGCGTTCAGCCTCAAGCAGCAAGGCACCAGCCCCAGGTCAAACACCGTTTGGGTGAGAAGAACTTGGGGACACGCAGCTGGCACGCCTCAGCAGTGTGGATGCCAGCTTTCAGTGGACATGGTGGGCACTCAGCCCCTCTGAGAAACCAGCCTCCGAGGCACGAGACACAGGAGCATGCAGATGTACAGACTGCATCTGCAAGTGGCCACAGGCAGCCCCTGGGTTCCTGGTAGGAATCTCTGGGCTCCTGGCTCTCAAGATGCACATTCGCATCGCACGAGTAACAAGCATCTGTTTTTCTTCCAGGTGGCGCACAGCGCAGAAGCCACACTTTCCTCGGGGTAACAGAGAGGGTAGCCAAATTATAACACATTTTTATTGGATACCAGAGAAAACCCTGGCCTGTGCAGAATTTCTTGGCTGAGCAGCTTCCACAGTGCTCAGTGTCTGCTTTTCATTAACTCCCCTGCTGTCACTTTTTCCACAGGCACTGCACATTAGCCTCCAGGCTAGCGTTCCTCCCCTGCATTTCTCAACACCTTTGGCAACGGTGCATGCTGTGCTGTCAGCGAGTGCTCTGCAAGCCAGCAGAGAGGAGCGACAGCAGCGATGCTGCTTCAAGAGACAGAAAACGTGCTCTTTTGAGTGCTCCACGAAGTCCGCTGCAAGTTAGAGCTGTCCCTGTTAGAGCATGTGTATCCTCCAGTACTCAGAAGGGACAGAGCACGCGTTTGAAAGCTTACATTTGGAAGTGTCTTGCCTGCTGCAAAGCCAGCCCCTTCACGACGCAGATGGGCACAGCATGTTCCTACTCCTCTATTCAGACGCTTCTCTTTGCTCTTTTTGCCTTTTTCATTTCTGCTTAATTTATTTTTAAAACTCAAAACTATCTAGCTCAAAGGTGGACATCTGCTCAGAAAAAAAACACAGCCCATTTGTCCAGAGTCAGAAAAGCAAGGGTCAGACAAAAGATAATAAATATCCAAAGGTGGCTTCTATTCTGTTCTCAGCCAAAGAGCACTTGCAGGAAGTTTGACTGGGGTACCCAGACTGAGAGAACAACTCACTCATCGCCACTGCAGCACCACAGCTGATGCCTCCTGCAGCAGTTCCCTGCTGAGCCGCAGAAGATGCTGCCCCAAAGCCACCCTTGTGACGAGCCAAGTCCCAGCCCCTGCAACCAGGGTCTCTGCAGACCAAGGCTGAAGCGTGCTGGCCAAGCCAGGGCACTCTGCGCTGCTCTGGCTTCTCTCCCCAAGGACACCACCTGCCACCGTGCACCCACATGTCCCATACACGTTGACTTCAGGGCAGCGCTGCTCCTGCTCCAGGTCTGCGCTGCAGTATCTTCTGCCCGAGTCTGCACCCAGCGCTTGCTTCCTTCTGCTGTGAAGGGGCACGGGGAGATGCACGTACGAAATACCAAGCCCGATACATTTTTTTCCTACAAACAGGCAGAACGGCATTTTCTCAGCTGCCAGGAAACAAAGCCAGTTCCTCTATGAGCAGTGGATAAACTGTCTAAAATCCAACCCTATTTGCCTGGCAATCTCCCTGCTGAGTTGGCTCCATATGGCTGCAAACCCCCAACACTTGGCAGCCCAACGGCATCCTCCAAAGCTGGACAGACCACAAGGACTGTCCAAAAAAAAATAATAAAAAAATAAAGCACGAAAGAGCTGGTTTCAGACTCTCCCTCCAAACACATTTGTGACCTTTCATGTCTTACTGTTCATTTATACCCAAAACCATTGAGTAACGAGGGAGAACAGGATTGTGAAGCAGCTCATTTGAGCTCCCACCTCAAACTCCCACAGAAATATTTGATTTCAAGCTCATTGCAAAGCCCACATTTGAGTGGCTATTTTACTTGCGCAAGAAGGCTGCTTGTGGTGCAGAGCAGCATCAGACCCTGTCTCAACTTCTGTTTGTTATAGGAAATAAAAATATTAAGACTGTTAAAACTAAAAACGTTTAGCTCCTCTCTACTGCTTCTCTTGCTAGACCACACAAAAATTAGTAAGAATGAGCTTCTGCTACAGCATGTTGAATTAGAGGGACCCATTGGGGATCACACAAAACTCCCATCAGTCCCAAGGCACATCCGTGGTTTGCAGATCACTAGAGTGGTTATCTAGTGTCATCACCAGGTATTGACAAGCCTCTACCGATACATCTCAAACAGCTGAAAGAAGGCTTGGGACTGAAGAAAGACAAGGAACACCTTATCAAATCAGCAAGATTAAATTCAGGGAGCTTAGCAGAGATAATCTTGAGAGGACCTGAAATGCAGGAATGAGCCATTATCACAGGAATTAACGTTGGATTCTAGTTGGAAGACAGCAGAGACAGAAGAAAATCTCAAAATAAATTCAGTTCAAATTTCAACACAAACAAAACTCTTCCCAATATCCAGTTTCTCTTTAAGAAACTGAGCTCACCAACTGTAAACAGTCCAAAAACTGAGCTGGAGACAATTTCCCTAATTCATGTCACTGCAGTCTAGCTCAGATCAAACTTCTTGTGTGTTTTGAATAGCTTGAAGTGAAGATTCCCATCCTTGCAACACAGAAAATCCAACAGCAACAAAACCCAACTCCACGCTCCAAGGGTGGCATCTCACTCAGGCCATATTTGCCGGTGGAAACATAACCAGAAGTGAAACGTGTGCCTCAGGGCCTGCATTCTGATGCACACACTTGCACACACTCACATTCTCTGGGTGCTTTCCTGGTGTTCCCATAGTAACTATTCAGGCACAACGCGGTGACATGACCTTCCAGTGCACACAGCCTTTAATTAAATCTGTTTGTCCTTGAACAGGCTGCTTTGCAGAGTATCTGACTTATCTAATTAACATCACTGCTCAGTTTGGGACCCAAGCAAACAAGGGGAAGGGAGAGGAACAGTTTTCTCTGCATCACACGCTCTGCCAAGCCTTTGCTGCCATGTGAAGGGACAACAGACAAGGATGGCAATTATTAATAGAAACACAACCCACTTCTAAAGCTCACCTGCCCTTCCCACCTCCTCAGGGCCCCACAGCCAGAGCTAGTTCTAGGAAGCAGTTTTACATGCACTTCAGTCACCACAGGCTTAAAAGTGCTCGGAAACACAATACCAAGGACAGAGGAACCAACTAAAGGTCAATGAACAAACTCGAGCACACTAAAACACTACACACACAACAGCTTCTAAAGGCCATAGCTCAACTGTCCGTAAGAAAAGACCAGAAGGGTGATTTAGGCAGAAGATAGAAATCTACTGTTCAAGTGAGCCAACCTGAACCACCTTGACAGACTGGCAAAGGAAAGGGAAAACAGTGAATAAAGACAGACTCAAATTCCAGTCCCAGTTGCTCCCACAGTACATGCCCGAGCCCTCCCCTATCCCTTCTTCTGCAGGTTAGGTTCTGCATTTTCTGAACACAGACCCAGAGCTCCAAGCCCACTGGCAGAAGGAAGCAGCGTGGCTGAGGCCTACTTGGAATAATTTTGCAGATGGGTCTAAGTTCACAGGCAGGATCTGGAGTTTTGAAGATGCTGATGGCATCTTCTTGTCCATACAACATGCATTGTTTGCCAGTTTTCACTCCATCTGCTTGGGTAACATTACCAGTAAGTTGCTGGAATCTTGAACTTTGTTTATCTGGGACATTTCTTTTTCTCTCCGTATGCTGCCCTCGAAAGGGAAGGGGAAAGGACCGTTGCTTTTGTTTCCAGAAACCTAGAGAAAGTAATGTCCTCTTTCCTCTAAGAAATGTAATATCCTTCGTCCACTGCTAGTTTCAGGTACCAGATAGGCGAGTTCACAGCTGAAATCCAGAAACAAGAGAGTGTCTTCATTATTCACATATTTTCAGTGCTGCTCAAAGAAAGAGGGCCCTAGAAGAGTCCATGAGATGGCCAGAGTCAAAGGCAAGCAGTTCCTTCCTTTCTGAATTGGTCTCTTCCCAAAGCACTTTGCCTCTGTGGTCGCATCAGCTATTTCTGTTGATGCCTCTTTGCTCTGAGAGCAGAAGGACTTCTGCTGCTACAAACCTCTCCTTGTTGGGTGAGGAGTTCAGGGTTTCTCCAAAAGAGGGTCATCTTTGGGCAGGAAGTACACAATAGGTTGACAGGCTCCAAAGAGGCCTCATCTATCTGCCACCCAGGAAGCTTTGCAAGTTCCAGAAATTATCTGAGCAGTTCTCAGACCAGGGAAAAGCAGGAGAAGGCAGATCCCACAGAGCACATCTCTGTCAATTTAAATAGGCTCCAAAACATCCCCATCTGAGAAGACACAGCCCTCTATCCCCCAGGTATTAAATTTCTCCTCTGCTGACACACAGGCAACATGCCTGGGCCTGCAGCACCTCAGCAAGCACCTACTATTCACATCTTAATACCAGAAAAGAAGATTCAGTCCCTCCTGAGCCAGCAAATTACTGATGACAAGCTGAAGGTGCTGGGCTTGGCCATATGGTGTGGTTCAGAAGAGAGACGCTGCAGAACATGAGCTGCTTTTCTTACATCCACAGCTAAGATGCTAGAGCTTGTTAATGCAATTTCCCCACCACTCAATGTTTTGGCTAACGGCATGGTATGCCCCTACCTGTGGGTTTGAGCAAAGACACAGGGAGGGAGGGATGCTCACTTGAAGTAGCCTCTGTTCATAAGCCTTGCCTTGAATTAGCGCAAACCATTCATACAGATTTGCACGTTCCTCCAGATAGGCAGGATTTCCACGTATTGCCAGAAGTCACATCCCAGACTCCAGGCGCACCGCAAGCGGCCTGGGCAGGTAAGAATAAAGTTTTGAAGACACCAGTTGTAATCTAGAAATCA